CCGCGGTAGGGGCCGAGGGAGAGGCCGCGGGGCTCGCGGAGGCAAGGCCGAAGATAAGGAAGTAAGTGGTTCCCGGGGCCGGAGGGGGCTGGACGAGGCTGCGTGGGGCCGTCCCGGGCGGCGGGGCTGGGCTGGGCTGTGCGGGGCCGGGCCGCGAGGGGCCGTGTGAGGGGCTGTGCCTGCTGCCGTCCTGAGAGCTGGAGCAGAAAGGGGAAGCCCCTTCCCGCGGGGCGCTGGCAGCTGGCGCTGCCGGTGACCCTTTTCCGCGGCTTGCTTTCCCAGTGGATTCCTGTCACCAAGCTTGGTCGCCTGGTCAAGGATATGAAGATCAAGTCTCTGGAGGAGATCTATCTCTTCTCGCTTCCAATCAAGGTAAGCGTCTGCGAACGTTTAAGTAACGAGCAGCAGAATCTTAACCTGAAATGCAGAGTTAGCAGTAGCTGCTGCATTTGCTGTTTGGGGTGCTGAGGTCACGCGTGTTCGAGTTAAAGGCGTAAATCAACAGAAGGTGAGGACCGATGCAGTCGCTCGTAGGGAAGGCTGGTGGGTTTTGCGTCCTGCATCCTGCCTTGTGTGGAGATGGCAGCACGTTGCTCGAGTGTTTCTCTAATAGTTCTGCTCAGCGGTGGAAAAAATGAAATTTTAAGTTGTTACGTTGGACTGCCTAGCAAGCTAGAATAAGTTTATGCCTGCAAAACTTAACATACTCAAATACCTGTTATTTGAAATACATATGCGTAGGATTGTTGAACTTGGGTTGGAGGAGCCTTTGCTAGCTGTGTTCGCTTTGTTTAAAAAGCGGGGCCTTGTGTGATTAAATGACTGACTCTCGCAGGAGTCAGAGATCATCGATTTCTTCCTGGGGTCTTCGCTGAAAGATGAGGTTTTGAAGATCATGCCTGTCCAGAAACAGACTCGTGCTGGTCAGCGTACCAGGTTTAAGGTAGCTTTTTTCTTCTGTTTTCTCACGTTGAAAACTTCGTGTGTGTTGCCTGCTGCTTTCTTGGTATCACATTAATAAATTAGTTCGAATGCCTTTATGGAATCATAGAATCATTGAGGTTGGAAAAGACCTCTAAGATCATCGAGTCCAACCGTCGACCCAACACCACCACCCACTAAACCATGTCCCTAAGTGCCTCAGCTACACGTCTTTTAAATACCTCCAGGGATGGGGACTCCACCACTTCCCTGGGCAGCCTGTTCCAATGTTTCACCACTCTTTCAGTAAAGACATTTTTCCTCACGTCCAATCTAAACCTCCCCTGGCGCAACTTGAGGCCATTTCCTCTCGTCCTG